GGGATGGGATGGGATGGGATGGGATGGGATGGGATGGGATGGGATGGGATGGGATGGGATGGCATGTCCCGGGGTGGAGGGGCTTAGCATGGCAGGGCCTGGCACAGCACGGCACATGCCAGGCTGGGGTGGCAGGGCCTGGCACAGCACGGCACATGCCAGGCTGGGGTGGCAGGGCCCGGCCGGGGGCACTCACAGAGCCCCTTGGAGATGAGCGTGAGCTTCCTGGGGGACAGCGAGGGCAGCCGCGGCTTCACGAAATCCTCCACGGTGACGGCGGCCATGGCGTTGATGGAGGTGGAGGCCGTGCTGGGGGCAGGGGGCACTGCTCAGCCCCGGTCCCCACGGGGGGAGCAGGGGGGGCACCCCCTCCCCTGGGGACCCCTGTGCTCACCTGAGGGTCCCGCTGTAGGCACAGGCCAGGAACAGCCCCGGCACCCCCGGGGTGGTCTCGAAGATGTCCAGGACCAGGTAGGGCATGTACTGCAGGGAGAGGGGGCTGCAGGACCCCAGGGCAGGACCCCAGGGGACCTGAACACCCTCTCCTACCCTGCTGCCCACAGGGGGTGCTCAGGAGGGCAGGACCCCAGGGCACCCCAAGACCCCCTCTGACCCCCTCACCCTCCCACCCTCCTGTCTTGGGGGGTCCTCGAGGGGCTGGCATGAGGGGGACCCCAATGTCCCCTTCAACACCCTCGTCCTCCCACCCCGCTGCCCCCGGGGATCCTGGAGAGGCTGGTACCTGGTCGGGGGCAGCGATGGCGCCAGCCAGGAGGGGGTCACAGTCCTTGTAGAGGGCAAACATGACGAGGCCACAGGCGACCGCGCTGGAGACGATGCAGAACAGCCCCACTTGATTCACCAGCAGCGCCCTGTGAGCACAGGGAGGGGGGTGAGGAGGGGGCCCGGCTGGGTGTGGGGGCCGGGCAGGGCTGCAGGGGCTGTGCAGCGGTGCCAGGTTCATACAGGGTCCGTTCAGGGGTGTATAGGGGTTCATATAGGGCCTGTGTAGGGTCTGTGCAGGGCCACAGGGTCCATGCAGGGGTACAGGCACCGCTCTCCCTTAGGGGACAAACTCACAGAGCAGGATCCAGGCAATCCCAGGCCCCCTGGACTCACATCTTGGCCTCCCTCTCGGTCCTGCAGGCCACGTAGCGCTGCACTTGGGCCTGGTTGACGCCGTACATGGAGAGCCAGACCAGGGTCCCGCCCAGCAGGAAGGTCCACACCGTGTACCGGCTCCGCGGGTCTGGGTTGAAGCTGGGCACGGTGGCACAGTGCCAGGGTGAGGGGTGGGCTGGCACCACCCCCCCCCCCAGCACCCTGGGGAAGCACCTCAGGGCAGGGGGAGCGGGGTCTGCACACCACAGGGTGGGGGGACTCACTCTCCAAAGTTTATCCTGGAGTTGTTGGCAGCGATGCCCAGCACCTTGGCAGGACCCCCCACCAGCAGAGACCCCCGGATGACAATGGCGATGAAGCCCGAGAGCATGACAAAGACCTGGAAGACGTCGGTCCAGATGACAGCCTTCATCCCACCCTGCGCCAGACGGAGCTGATGGTGACCACCAGGGACCCCCAGGGCCACCGGGACCCCCCCCCGGGGGCTCCCCCACTCACGATGGTGGTGTAGAAGGTGCAGATGACCCCGGTGGAGAGCAGGGAGGCCCAGATGTCCAGCCCGGTCACTGGAGGGGAAGGGACGGTGCTGAGCAGAGCCCCGGGTGAAATGTCACCCGCAGTGGGACAGGGCCGGGGTGTCCCCCGCGCAGGGACAGGGACAGGGACACGCCGGGGAGCAGCCCCACACACACACACCTTGGTTGAGGATCAGGGCGGGGGCGTAGATGACGATCCCTGTGTAGAGCATCTGTGGGAAGAGAGGGGGGTCAGCACCGCGTCCCTCCGGCACCGCGGGGACGGGGACAGAGGGTGACGGCGCTGGGAAAACACTGCGGTTTTCACTCAAAACAGGGCTCCCGCCGGGAGCTGCGCGCTCGGAGCCAGGGAAAACACGAGCACGGGACCCAAGGACGCTCCCCAGGGGCTCAGGGCAGCGCCAGCACGGCCGGGTCCGAGCCCCTCCCCGCGTTCCCATCCCAACCCCGCACCGCCGGCACGCACCGTGGCCACCACGTACTGCAGGGTCCCGCACAGCCGGACGCTCCTGCTGAACCGCCGCTCCAGGTACTGGGACAAGGACAAGGACACCGAGCACGTCGGGGCCGTCCCGGCAGCGGGGGCCACCCCAGGGCGGGATCCCCGCGTGCCCACCCAGCCCCGTGCCCACCTCGTAGGTGCTGGTGAGCCCCAGGCGGTAGAAGACGGGCAGGAAGAGCTGGGCGGTGAGCAGGGAGTTGATGAGCTGTGCCATGCACATCCAGAGGAATTTGGCGCCGTACCGGAACGCCTCCGCCGGCACTCCCAGCACCTGGATGGCCGACATGAAGCTGGCGGAGAGCGAGAGCCCCACGGGCAGCGCCGACATGCGCCGGCCCCCCGTGAAAAAGTCCTCCGAGGTCTTCTGGCCGCCCCTGGCGAGGCCGTGGAAGAGCCCGATGCCCGTGGAGATGAGCAGCATCAGCCCGAAGACTCCGTAGTCCCAGAGGCTGAAGGTGAGACGCTCCGCAGCCCGGATCTCCGGGCTCCCCGTCGGGGCTGGCATGGCCGTGGCACGGGGGGAGCCCCAAACCGGGCAACCGCGGGAGGACGGGGACACGGCACCCACGGCTAGGCCAGGACGCGGAGACACCGCTGGAGGGTGAGAAAATTCCTTGGAATTATTGCTCAACACCTCGTGCGGGAAGGAGGGAGCGCGGATTGGGGAGCAGGGCCCTGTCCCGCCCTGTTCCCTTCGCACCCGTCCCGGGCCAGGTCTGTGCCAAGGGCTGCGAAGGGACTGCACGAGGGACAACCCGAATTTGGCGTGGGAATTACCCCGAGACCTCCCGCTCTGGAGCCAAGAGAGGCAGCGCCTGGTCCAGCTGCTCCGGGGAAACGTTGGCACCCAAAGGACACGTCCGGGAGGGAGGGAAAGAGGGGAGGGAGCGACCCCTCCCCAACCAGCCCAAACAAGGAGGGGCAGAGCCTCCGGCAGAGCCAAATTTATCTCCAGCCGAGGGAGGGGGAAAAACAAACCCAAAGAAAACCTTTACCCAGAGAAAAGCAGGTTGTTTGCAGGCAGCTGCCTGCGGAGCGGGACGGACCGGCTGCCGAGGCTGAGGAGCGGAGCGGGGGCTGCCCGGGGGTCCCTGGGGGGCCTTGGCGGGTCCCAGAGGCTGCTGTGATGTCCTCGGGGGGCGTGGAGGGAAGGCTGTGCCTCGAGCTGCTCCAGCCCGTGGGGCGGGGGGACGGCGGGAGGCAGGTTCAGGCCGTCGAGGAGGGACCCTCCGTGGGGAGGACGGAGCCATCGGGGGCCGCAGCCATAACCCCTTCCCTGCCGTGCCCCCTGCTCCGCTCACGGCCCCGGCGCTGCCGCCGCATCCAGATCCCGGAGGGAGCCGGGCACTGACCCCCGGGAGCGCGGGGACAGCTCTGGCTCTGGGATTTGACGTGGCACCGGGCGTGGGGCTGGCCTGGCTTCCTCATTCCCTGGCACAAACACCGCTTTGTCCCGCCTGGCCCTCAGACAGGTTTGGGGATTTCCACCTCTCTGCCCTAAGCCCCGGGGCTGAGATCAGATTTGGGACTGATTTGGCACATCAGAGCCCTGATGTGGGGACGGAGCTGATGCAGGGGCACAGATTCCACCATCGAGGCACGGTCCCCCCCAAGGTGTCACCACTGGGGCACCGTCCCCTCTGAGGCATCACTGAAAGGCGATCATCCCCTCCAAAGCATCACCACAAGGGCACTGTCACCTCTGAGGCACCACCAGGAGGTCACTGTCCCCTCCAAAGCATCATCATGGGGGTATTGTCCACTCTGACATGTCACCACAGGGGCATTGTCACCTCCAAGGTGTCACCACGGGGTCACTGTCACTTCCAAGGTGTCACCAGAGGGGGGCCATCCCCTCCGTGGGGCAGAGGAGGGTCCCTGGGCCCTTCCTCCAGCCCTGGTGACACTGTCCCCATCACCTGTCCCCGGGGGCCAGGGCGGGGCAGGATCCCTTCCACACCTCCCCGAGCTGGTTGGAGCAGCTCCAGGGGAAAAACGCCAAGATTTGGCCACATCCTGCAGCAGGTACGTGTGACACCACACGGCACCGGGCCCGGCACACGCCCAGCACCACCGTGGCACCCGGGGCACGACAGGGGAGAGGGGACAGGGCTGTCACTGGGGCACTGAGGGTCCCAGCAAGGGGGTGCAGGGAGGGGGCAGGCAGCACCCAGGCCCTCGCCCTGGGAAGGGATGTCCTGGTAGAGCATCACCTACCCCTGTGGTACCCACAGCACCAGGACAGGGGTCTCTTGGGGTGCCCAGGGCGTGCCCAGGCTCCCTGCCCATCACTCCACCCCATCCCCGCACCCTGGGGTGTCTCCCCTGGTCCCCCCTCCCCTGCCAGGAAGCCACGCGCCGGGGAGGCCTCGGGCAGGAAGGAAGTCACCCGGGGGACTTTTTGTCTCTCTCCTTCACTCGCAGCCACCTACGCACCCCCAGAGCCCCGGTCTGGCAGCACACCCTGCCCGGGACCCCTCCCGGGCACGGCAGAGGTACCACATGGGCTCCAGGGGATGGAGCTGAGCCCTCCCTGCACAATGGGGCAGGGCAGGAGCGGCTGTGGGACAGGGTGGGAGGGGGGTTATCCCACCTCAGGACTCAGTTTCCCCTTCATCCCTCCCAGGAGGGGCCGATCCCAGCCCCGGGGGTGCCGCGGGTTCCATCGCGGGGTTTAACCCCAGGGAGGATGAGGAGGGAAAGGCAGGGAAGGGGAGCCGTGGGGCCGGGGGGTCACTCTGAGCCCCACTTTTCCCCTGCAGCGCCCGCCATGGCCCCGCTGGGCGAGGACACGCCGCTGATCGGGGGCCGCTCCTGCAGCCTCTCCTCAGCCGAGCCCGGCAAGACCGGCACCCTGCGGGTGCTCCTGTACCCCCGGGCACCCGCCCCACGCAGCCCCCCCGGTGCCCTCACCTTCAGCTGCGGCGAGTTCACGGCCGAGGAGCTCTGTGTGCGCGCGGCCAAGGCCTGCGGTGAGCCCGGGGTGCTGATCGTGGGGCTGGGCAGAAGCTCGGGGTGCCAACTGTGGGGCTGGGCAGCAGCTTGGTGTGCCAACCGTGGGGCTGGGCAGCAGCTTGGTGTGCCAATTGTGGGGCTGGGCAGCAGCTCAGGTGCCAACCATGGGGCTGGGCAGCAGCTCAGGGTGCCAACTGTGGGGCTGGGCAGCAGCTTGGTGTGCCAACCGTGGGGCTGGGCAGCCGGCCATGGGCATGGGATCCTGGCTGTGGGTTCAGGTTACTGGCCACAGGCTCTGGTTCGGGGCTGTGGGCTCAGGGTACTGGCTGTGGGATGGTGGTCCCAGCCCTGGGTCCCGTGCCCCTCCTGGCTGGGGGTCCCAGCCCCGCCCTCCACCCCCAGGTGTGCTGCCCGTGTGCCACCCGCTCTTCGCCCTGGCCACGGAGGATCTGAGCTGCTGGTTCCCCCCCAACCACCTCTTCACCGTGGACGAGTCCAGCAGCCAGGTCGTGGTGTACAGGATCAGGTACAGCCCCAGCACAGCCCCCCGGGACCCTCTGGTGGGTTCTGTGCTCTGGGGGACGCAGTGCTGAGACCCCCCCGCCGGCCCCATCAGGTTCTTCTTCCCCAACTGGTGTGGACTGGGACAGTCCCACCGCTTCCAGCTGCTGAATGACCGGGCCAGCCCCATCCTGGACTACCCTGTCATCGATTACCTGTTCGCCCAGGTGAGCCCTGCCAGGTGGCACCTCTGCCCCTGACTCCTGGCACCGCAGGTGGGGTCCTGTGTGGCTTCTCGGGTGTGTGGTGCGTGTTGACCTCGGTGCAGTGATGCCTTCATCGCCCTGGGCTGTGCCACTCTCCTCCTCCTCCTCCAGCACCCACAGGTCCCTGCAGGATGTGGATCCTCTTACCTGGCTCACCTGGAGGTGCTCGTGGGGCACCCCAGGTTGCTGACATGGGGGTCACTGTGTCCCCTGGGTGGTCCCTGCCCCAGGGACAGAGCCGGGGAAGCAGCAGGAAACCAGAGCCCAGGGCGGGATGTGACTCATGTGGGCACTGGGACAGGGGGACAGTATGTGGTGCCACAGACTGGGGGTCCTGTGGTGCCTCGGGTGTCCTGGCATGGCAGGAGGTGGGAGAACCCCCCCAAACCCTCGTGTTCCCCCCAGTCCCGCAGTGACTTCGTAGAGGGCCGCGTGGCCGTGGGGCTGAGCCTGCCCACGCAGGAGGAGTGCCTGGGCCTGGCCCTGCTGGACATGCTGCGCATCGCCAAGGAGGAGAGGCAGAGCCCCGACCAGGTCTGCAGCCACGTCAGGTGAGCTGGGGGCTGGGGGCACAGTGGGGCACTCATGGGACAGCCTGGCATCCATGGGGACAGCCTGGCACCTCTGGGTACAGTGACACCCATAGAGACAGCCTGGCATCCATGGGGACAGTCCAACAACCATGGGGAACACCTGGTATCCCTGGGGAACACCTGGCATCCTTGGGGAACGCCTGGCATCCTTGGGGAACATCTGGCATCCCTGGGGAACACCTGGCATCCCTGGGGAACGCCTGGCATCCCTGGGGAACACCTGGCATCCCTGCGGACACCCCGTCACCCCCCTGTGCCTCCCGTCCCCGGCAGCTACAAGTCCTGCATCCCGGAGCCGCTGCGGAGCCAGATCCAGCAGCACAACTTCCTCACCCGCAAGCGCATCCGGCGCCGCTTCAGCAAATCCCTGCGGAAGCTCGGGGGCTGCCAGACCGACGGGCCCCACCTGAAGCTCAAGTACCTGCTGGACCTGGAGCGGCTGCAGCGCCGCCGGGCCGAGGAGAGTTTCCGTGTCCGCTCCCCCGGGTCCCCCGCGGGCATCACCATCCACGTGGCCGGGGAGAGCGGCGTGTCCTGGAGCTGCGGCGGCTCCGAGGTGCCGGGGTGGAGCGGGGGGGGCTTGCGGTGGGGGTCCCGCGGTGGGATGGGGTGGGGGGAGCGCGGCTGTCACGCCGTTTGTCACCCCGCAGAACCGCCAGCACTTCTGCGACTTCCCCGACATCGCCGACATCAGCATCAAGCAGGCGGGCGGGGAGGGCGGCCCCGCGGAGACCCGGCTCGTCACCCTCACCAAGGTGGACAACCGCGTGCTGGTGAGCCGCGGGGGTGGGCTGGGGAGCCCCCCGGGGGGCTTGGGGGGATGTGGAGCTGACCCTCATCCCCTCCCCACCCTGCCCCAGGAGGTGGAGTTCCCGACGCTGCGGGAGGCTCGTTCCTTCGTGGCTCTCATCGACGGCTACTACCGGCTGACGGCGGATGCCCAGCACTACTTCTGCAAGGAGGTGGCCCCTCCCCGGCTCCTGGAGGACGTGGAGAACCAGTGCCACGGGCCCATCAGGTGGGTGCCGGGACCCCCCCTCGCCAACCCCAACCCGCAGGTGACAGGGGAAGGGGTCACCCGGGGGGAGCTGCGGGGAGAGGTCCCCACCCCCTTCACTGGGGAGGGGGGGACACGGTGGGGAGGGGAGGGCAGTGGGGGTCCCACGATGGGGAGAGGAGGGCAGTGGGGGTCCCCGGGGGTGTCCCAGAGCCGGATCCACCCCCAGCCCTGCCTTTCACAGCGCCGAGTTCGCTGTGAGCAAGCTGAAGGCGGCCGGGAGCCCCCCGGGGCTGTACCTGCTGCGCCGCAGCCCCCAGGACTTCGACAGTTACCTGCTGACCGTCTGTGTCCAGGTGAGACCCCCCCCCTGCACCGGGGGCTCCGGGGGTCCGGGACTGTGGGGGTCCCGTCACCGGGAGAGAGGGAAACACTGACCTGGTGCCACCCACGGTGGGATGGGCACAGCCCGGGGCTGCTGCGGGCACCAGCAGGGCAGGAGGGGTTTGGGGGGCTCTGGGGGCGGTCCCCACGCTGCTGATCCCGACTGATCCCCCCACAGACCCGCTCCGGGCAGGATTACAGGCGGTGCCAGATCCGCAGGGATGAGGAGGGACACTTCTGGCTGTCGGGGGTGTCGCGGAGGTTCTGCAGCCTGCGGGAGCTGCTGGGCACCTACGGGCGCCGGGGGCTGCAGGCAGAGGGGGCCCGGATGCACCTGGGGGCCTGCTGCCCACCCCGCCCCAAAGGTGACAACAGGGGACGTCACAGAGAGGGGGCTGTGAGGTCACAGAACGGCTGTGATGTCATGGGGGAGCTGTGTGGCGTCACAGAACGGGTTGTGTGAGGTCACAGATTGGGCTGTGACATCACAGAGTGGGCTGGGAGGCCACAGGGTGACCTATGACACCATAGAGGGGACGGTGTGACAGCACACAGCTGCTGTGGGACACTGAAAAGTGAGATGTGTGAGGTCACAGAGCGGGCTGTGACATCACAGAGGGGGGCTGTGTGACATGAGAGGGTAGGCTGTGCCATAGAGCTGCTGTGTGACATCACAGAGCAGGCTGTGAGGTCACAGGACAGACCATGATGTCACAGCTGGGCCTGTGTGACATCACAGAGCTGTCTACGAGGTCACAGGATGGACCATGACATCACAGCGGGGCCTGTGTGACCTCACAGCTGCTCTGTGACGTCACGGAGCGGCCGTGTGACATCACAGAGCGGCTGTGTGAGGTCACCAGGCAGGTGCCCCCTGCCCTGCCCCCCCTCACGGCCTGTGTCCCCCCCCCCCCCAGAGAAGTCCAACCTGCTGATCGTTCGGAGTGGGGCCCCCCCGCCCCCCGGCTCCCCCCCGGCCCCCCGGCGCCGCAGCCTCCACCAGATGATGTTCCACAAGATCGACCCCCAGAGCCTGACACGGGTACAGGGGGGGCCCAGGGCGGTGGGTCGGGGGGGGGGCACAGGGACAGGGACCCCCCAGGACCATCCCCCTGTCCCTGCAGGGCGAGAGCCTTGGCCAGGGCTCCTTCACCCAGATCTACAAGGGCGTCAAGCGGGACCAGGAGGAGCAGGAGGAGGGGGACGGGCCCCACCAGACCACCGTGGTGCTCAAGGTCATGGACAGCAGCCACCGCAACTGCTCCGAGGTGAGGGGGTGGCACAGCCCCCCCGCGGTGGCACTGGGGGATGAGGGGCGTCCCCAGGAGCCCCCCCTGAGCCGCCTGTCCCACTCCCAGTCCTTCCTGGAGGCAGCCAGCACCATGAGCCAGCTCTCCCACAAGCACCTGGTCCTGCTGCACGGTGTCAGCCTCGGGAAGGACAGTGAGTGCCCGGGGGAGCACAGGGAGTGCCCGGGGGAGCACAGGGAGTGCCCAGCCCTGCCGTGCCCCGGGTGACCCCCCACATCCCCCAGGTGTGATGGTGCAGGAGTTCGTCCGGCACGGCCCCCTGGACCTCTACCTGCGCAAGAAGCAGGGCGAGGGCTCGGTGACCACCAGCTGGAAGCTGACGGTGGCCAAGCAGTTGGCCTATGCCCTCAACTACCTGGTGAGCGGCTCCGAGTGCCCGTGTCCCACGGTCCGTGTGTCCTGCTGTTCTCTGCCCTCATCCCACGGTTTCCAGGCATCCACGTCCTCTGGGTCTGGCTCACCCGCCTCCTGCATCAGCTGTGCATCCCTGGCACACATCCCACACACATCCACAGCTCCCGGGCATCCGTGTCCCATGGCCCCCACAAGTCCATGGCCCACAGCTCCCATGTATCCATAATCCCACAGTTCCCACATATCCATATCCTATAACCCCCCCACATCCCTGTCCCATGACTCCCATCTATCCATACCCCACAGCTCCCACACATCCATGTCCCATGGATCCCATCTATCCCATGCTCCCATGCATCCATGTCCTGTGCCTCCACACATCCCCCCATGGGTGGGGCCACACCGAGGGTCCTGGTCCCTCTTCCCCCCCCTCCAGGAGGACAAGAAGATCACCCACGGGAACGTCTCTGCCAAGAAGGTGCTGCTGGCGCGGGAGGGGGACGCGGCCACAGGGACCCCCCCGTTCATCAAGCTCAACGACCCCGGGGTCAGCGTCACCGTCCTGGCCCCAGACAGTGAGTGCTAGGGGTCCTGGGGGGTCTGGGATTGCTGGGCCCCCCCCAGGTGCTGAGCAGGGCCGTCCCCCCCCCAGTGCTGGTGCAGAGGATCCCCTGGGTGGCCCCCGAGTGCGTCCGGGATCCCAAGAGCCTGGCACTGCCCGCTGACAAGTGGAGCTTCGGGGTGACCCTCTGGGAGATCTTCAGTGGTGGGAACATGCCCCTGAGCCTGCTGGAGCCCCAGAAGGTGAGGCTGCCCCAGCCCCCTGAATCCTGACCCTCCTGATCCTTCCCAGTGCATCCCAACCCTCCTGCCCCGTCCTCCTGCCCTGTCCTGCTGCACCCGGGCCCCGCTCACTCCCCCAGCTTTGGGGCTGTTCAGGGGCTGTTCGAGGCGGCCCCAGACACCCCACAGCCACCCCGGGCCCCCCCTTCCCGCCCCTGCAGAAGCTGGATTTCTACCAGAGCCAGCTGCAGCTCCCGGCTCCCAAGTGGCCGGAGCTGGCCACGCTCATGGCCCAGTGCATGGAATACGAGCCCCAGCGCCGGCCCTGCTTCCGCGCCCTCATCCGCGACCTCAACAGCCTCATCACCTCCGGTGGGCCCCGGGGCTGGGGAGGGGGGCACGGGGGACCCCCACAGCGCCCTCACCACCCGCCTCCCCCAGACTACGAGCTGCTGTCGGACCTGTCCCCCGCGGACGTGGCGCTCCGGGACAGCCTGTGGGGACACGAGCCCCTGGCCGTGAGCCGGGACCCCGAGCACTTCCAGGAGCGGCACCTCAAGTACATCTCACTGCTGGGAAAGGTTTGGGCCCTGAACCCCAAACCTCAGTGCACCCCCTCCTCCCTCACCTGATTCGGGGCGTGGAACATCCTTGCTTTGCTGAGAAACGCTTGGATTGTGCCCCGAGAGCGGGATCTTGGGAGGGATAACAGGCACTGGGAATAATGGGGGGAGGGCTCTGGGGCACATCCCTCACCCCAGCCCGGCCCTCCCCCTACCCGCAGGGTAATTTTGGGAGCGTGGAGCTGTGCCGCTACGACCCCCTGGGGGACAGCACGGGCGAGCTGGTGGCGGTGAAGAAGCTGCAGCAGGACTCGGCCAAGGAGCTGCGGGATTTCGAGCGGGAGATCCAGATCCTGCACTCTCTGCAGCACGACTTCATCGTCCGCTACCGCGGCGTCTGCTACAGCCGGGGTGAGCACGGGGCGGGCAGGGGGCGGGCAGGGATCCCACACCCCGGCTCTGCCCAAACCCCGGCCGGAGGGTGACGGATGTGGCTCCAGGATGGCGGGGGCTGCGGCTGGTGATGGAATTCCTGCCCAACGGCTGCCTGCGGGATTACCTGCAGAAGAACCAGCCCCGCCTGGACCACAGGGCGCTGCTCCTCTACGCCTGGCAGATCTGCAAGGTGGGGTCGCCGGGGGGTGGCGGCAGCGAGGGTCCTGCTCTCCCAGGGTGGGTGGGGGTGGAACAGTGCCGTAGATCACCCGGGGGGTCGTGATCCAGCCAGGACGAGCCCCCAGGGATGCTCACTCAAGGGGCCGTGGTCCGGCTGGGATGTGGTCCCATCCAGCCCCCCGGGGATGCTCCTGGGTCCCGGTTCCCGTGAGCATTCCATCCCGGCAGGGCATGGAGTACCTGGGGGCGCAGCGCTGCGTGCACCGGGACCTGGCCAGCAGGAACATCCTGGTGGAGAGCGAGAGCCACGTCAAGATCGGGGATTTCGGGCTGGCCAAGCTGCTCCCGCAGGACAAGGACTATTACGTGGTGCGGGAGCCCGGCCAGAGCCCCGTCTTCTGGTGAGAGGGGGAGCACGGGGGGGGGCACAGGGGGCTGCAATCCCAGCTGGGTCCGGTGCTTAGCGTCTCCCCTCCGGCAGGTACGCTCCTGAATCCCTGGCAGACAACGTCTTCTCCTGCGCATCCGACACCTGGAGCTTCGGGGTCCTGCTCTACGAGCTCTTCACTTACAGCAACAAGAGCAAGAGCCCCTCAGAGGTGAGACCCCCCCGGGCTGGGGTCCTGCTGTGCCCCCCTCCCCGGGGCTGGGGTCTGTTACCTGTGGTACGAACCCCCCCCCCCCCGGCTGATCCCGGTGCCGACGGCCGCCCCCGCAGGAATTCCTCCGGATGATGGGCACCGGGAAACCGGCGCAGATCATCTGCCACTTGCTGGAGCTCCTCAAGGACAACCGGCGCCTCCCGGTGCCGTCCGGCTGCCCCGCGGAGGTGCGAGCCCTGCCCGGGCTGTTGGGGGTCCTGGGGGGGGTCCTGGGGGTCCCCCCGCTCCCCTGATGGCCGCCCTGTCCCTTGTCCCCAGGTCTACTCGCTGATGATGAGCTGCTGGGCCTTCGCCCCCGGTGCCAGGCCCACTTTTGGGGAGCTGTCCCCCAGGATCGAGGCGCTGCGGGATGGTCGGAGCAAAGCCCGTGGGTAGAACCCCCTCCCCAAAACTCCCCCCTGGCTGGGACCCCCGGACACCCACCTCCCTCCTCAGCACCCTGTGGCCACAACGATGCTTCAAGGAGCTCTGAGGGGCACAGCATGGGGGGGACATGACCCTCATGCCCCTCTCCCATGGCACACAGACCCCACCGTGCTGCCCCTTGGCTTCCCCCCCCCCCCTTCTCCCTGTTCCTGCCTCCACCATGGCAAATTCAGCCTTATTTAATTAAAGTTTGGTAAATTTTCCAGCTGGGGTGAGGTGAGGACGTGCCTGGGGAGAGGGGACACGTGGGGAAAGGGGAGTGTGGGCGTCTGGTTGCCGTGGAGCTGCTGGGAGAGAGCGGGTGCCCTGGCACATCCTGGTGAGGGAGCCCCAGCTCGGCACTGTGGGGTCAATGCCCACCCCAGTGGGGTCAGGGGATTCCTTTGCTCCCACCCTGAGCCCAAGATCCCCCCCAAAACCAGCCCCGTCCTCCCTGTGCCCGCTCAGAAAGGCTCCAGCCCCCAAATCCTCATTAACAACACGCACTCGCTTCTTCTCCCTCTGCCGCCTTTGGCCACGGGAGGGCAGATTTGGGGTGAAACCAGACAGGAACAGGCCCAGAGCAGCGCGGAACTGAGTCCGAGAGCTGGGATTCAGCATTCCAGACATGGTCCTCCTGGCAGGACCATCCCTGGGGTCCCCCTTCCCATACGGAGCGGCAGCTACAGGGGTTGGGAGGGAACCACAGCCCAGGGGGTCCTGGGGTGTTTCCTGCCAGCTCTGGATCCTCCTCAGTGGCCCTAAAAGATGCTCAGACCCCCTAGAAGATGCTCCCCCAGCCAGGGGTGGAACAGCACCTACCCCAGCCCCAGGTTGCAGGAGGTGTCCCTGAGATCCCACTGCAGCACATCCCCGTGCTCCCGCCGCTGGCTGAGCTTCCCAGCATTCCAGGGGCTTGGGAACACCCCCACGAGGCTCCGTCAGAATTCCTGCCCCAGGTCCTGGGGATCAACTCCTGCCTCTTGGAGCTCACCAGGGGGCGATTTAGTGGCCAAGAGGAGGAAATGTCGGGGGACCACTGGGGCTCCCCTGGCACTTGCCAGGACCTGGAGCAGCACCGGGAAGGACGGGCAGCTCGGAGGAACTGGGAATGTCGTGCACCAAGGGGGTGGGCACAGCCCCAGACCCCCCCAGGACCACCAGAGCTCCCCCAGTGCCTCGGTGCAGAGCCAGCTCAGTGCCACCCTCACACTGAGCCTCTCCCAGAGCAGTGATCCCAGTGGCACCAGTATCCTGTGGGAATCCTCCCCCAGCCTGGTGCCACCCACCCACCCACGGGCACGAGGAGGTTATTAGAAAATAAAGGTTATTAGAAAATAAAGTGTTTAATAAAAGAGCAGCTCCTGCTCCCTTCACAGCACGGGGGAGGGTGGGGGGGGGTCCAACGCGGTGACAGCCACGGGAAGGGGGAACAGGGAGAGGAGGAGGAGGAAAAGGAGGAGGAAAAGGGGGGTTCCCACCCCACAGCACCCCCTCCCCTCCCCAGCCGGCCTCCATCCAGTGTTTCAAGTTCACACAACCAAGGGGGAAGCCCGGGGGGCTCAGAGGGTCCAGCAGGAGGTGGCTCAGGATCCCGCCAGGTAGATCCCTGTGGAGGAAAGGTGGTGAGGAGGGGTGAGGGGAACATCCCTGGCACCACTGCCAAGTGGCCAGGGCTCAATGCCAGCACCAAGCTGGGCAACCTGCACCCTCCCAGGTTGGGCATCACCCAGTGAGGGGGGACTGAAGCTTGGGGACAGAGGAGGGGACCCCATCTACCCCAGGGTCACAGGGAGCAGGGAAGGGACCCTGTGTGCTGCAGGAAGGGACTCCAGGCACCCTGGCAAAGGGATCTCATGCACCCCAGGGCCGTGGGGAGCAGGAAGGGACCACTGTGGACCTTGGGGAAAGAACAGCCTTCCCTGTTCCCTGTCCTGTGCACCTCAGGACACAGGGGATGGGGAGAGGATCCCCTGCCCACCAAGGCTGTGGGGAAAGGACCCCACGCCCCTGGGGTGTGCCCCCTCCCCAGCTGTACCTGTAGCAAACCTCTTCTTGACCAGCGACATCCGGTACCCGGCGCTCGCCAGCTCCACCTCCACCCCCGACAAGGTGCTGCCCTCGCTGCTGAACTGGGCAGCCACGGGACTGGGCTTACTGGGCCCCCCCAGGGGCTCCCAGCTGGCCGAGAGCCGGCCACAGCCTGGGGGAACAGCAGAGGGGTTGGGGGGGTCTGGCCTCTGCATCCCCCTGCCCCATGCCCTCAGGGTGGGCACAGACTCACCTCCCTGCCCCGGGGCACCAGGGACGTCCAGCAGCTTCCAGAGCAGCCTCTTCTCCTCCAGGTTCCTGCCGGGACACAGGAATGCCCTCAGACCCCCAAGCCCCTCCCCCCACTTCATCCTGAACCCACCTTCCCTGCCCTCCTCACCCTGGCAGCACCCCCATTTCCCAGCTCAGGGTCTCAAATTCCCAGTTCAGGGTCCCCCTCTCCCAATCCTGGAGGGATTTAGAACCCTATCTCCTGTGCCTCCCACCCTGGGGGGAATTTGGGACCCCCATCTCCCGTGCCTCCCACTCTAGAGGTGTTCAGTGTATCCCACCCTGAGGAGGTTCAGAACCCCAAGTCCTGCATTTCCCACCCTGGGGAGGTTTGGGACCCCCACTCCCACATTTCCCACTCTGGGCTGGTTTGGGACCCATTTCCCACTCTGGGGGTGGGTTGGGACCCCCCCTCCTGTGCTTCCCACCCTGGGGAGGTTCAAGATCTCCAGTCCTGTCCCTCCCAGCCCGGTGGGACTGTGACCCCCAGTGCTGTGCGTCCCCACCCCAGTGCTGGTTCCCACCCCCTGCCCCGGTACCAGCTGGCCGCGGGCTGCAGCCGGAGGTTGGTGAGGGGCTCCTCGACGGGCAGCAGGACGTGGACGTTGGCGAGGGGCACGGGCAGTGCCAGGGCGCCGGCGTTGTAGCCGTAGTCGACGCTGACCCGCGTGGCCCCGGGCGCGCAGTCCCAGCGCACGCAGAGCCGCAGCGGCGCCGAGCCGGGGCCCAGCCGCGAGAACTGCGGCACACGGGGGGGCTCAGGGGGGCACCCAGACCCTCCCGCCCTCCAGGGGGGCTGCTGGGGAGGGTCCCAGCTCTCCCCACACCCCCCCCGGGGTTCACCTGGTACTTGAGCAGAGCCACGTTGTAGTAGGAGGCGGTCGGGCTCTGCTCTGCCTGCCGCTGCAGTTGCCCCGTCAGCGCTGCCATGTTCAGCCAGAAGTCCCTGGTGCTGGGGTCGCTCTGGGAGGGGTCGCTGGGGGCACGGGGTCAGAGGGGCACCCCCAGAACGCAGCACCCCCCCATACCCAGCTGCACCCACCGGCTCCCCAGGACACCCAGACCTCCGGGGACCACACGTACCCCATCACCAGTCGCCCGTGGCTGCGCCCACCCTCTCCCAGGGTGCCCGTGCCCCCCGCCTCGCTGCCCCCCCCGCCGTGCAGGGCGTCCCCGAGGCTCCCCACCTGTAGAGCAGGTCGGTGTTGGGCAGGAAGTGCTCGATGGCCCCCGTGTTGAGCAGTCGGAAGCTGAGCACTGGGGGGGCCGCGGTGCCGCTGAACACGCGGACGATGCCGGCGGGGAAGGACATGGTGAGCTCCCCCGTCACCTTCACCAGGCAGCTGCTGGGGACAGGTCGGGGGTCAGCGGGTGCCCCGGGCAGGACACAGTGGTTGGGGGACCCCCAGGACCCCCCCTGTACCTGTCGGCGTCGCGGCCCTTGAAGTAGGCGTGCACGTACTCGGTGAAGGCGGTGGCCACGGGCAGCGCGTCCTGCGAGCCCAGCACCACGGGGCTGGGACCCCGAGACAGCCCTGGGGGGGGCCGGGGGGCACACAGGGGGTCAGAGCACGGGTGGGACCCTCACCCCGTGCCCCATGAGCCCCCCCC